GAACAAAAAAACATAAAAATCAGTAAAAAAACTCATGTTTATTCGAGAAAAGCGGGCCCTCACAGCGACACACACTCTATATATATATATATATATACACATATATACATATACCCACTTCCGTCCCCATCGGTTCCCTCCTTCGAAAGAAATCGCACCGTATTTTTGGTTTCTCTCTGTCTCTCTCAATCTCGCTCTCGCTCTCCTTCTGTCTATCCTTCCCTCCCTGCCTGCCTCCCTCCTTTAAGCTGTGTTTCAGGTTGGGGGCCTCGGTGTCCCAAGTTGGGTCTACGCAGCACGCGGCTGAACTCCTACAAGCCTTGGAGGACATGCGAAAGTATCAGACTGCCCTGGAGGAGCAAGCCATGTCCAAAGGACTGAAATTGCCACCCAAGCCCTGTGCCATCCTGCCTGACCTCATCGAGTCGGCTTGCAAGCCGAAGGATGCAAAGGCAGCTGCAGCTCCTTCGGTCGATCCAGCTGTGGAGGGTTCGGGTGAGCCCCATGACATTGAACGTGAGCTGCAAGAGATGCTTGACAGCCTCGATGATCACGAGGAGGATGGAGAGAAGGAGGAGGGACAGGAGATGGAGGATGGACAGGAGCTGAATGATGAAGGTGAGGAGGATGGACAGGAGCTGAAGGAGAATGTAGCTGAGGAGCAGGAGGAGGATGGAAAGAAGCTGGAGGAGGATACAGCTGTCGAGGAGGAGGAGGAGGATGGAAAGGAGCCGGAGGAGGATGCAGCTGAGGAGGAGGAGGAAGAGGATGGACAGGAGCTGGAGGAGGATGAAGCGCAGGAGGATGGAGAGGAGTGTGAGGCGGAAGAGGATGTCCATGACACTAAGGATGGAGAGGAGGACCCCAAGGCCAAGGACAAGGGAGCCAAGGACTGCTCTAAGCCAGTTGCTACGCCTGCTCGGGCCAAGGATGCCCCACCCTTGCTTCGCCTTCAGTCGTCGGAATCCCTTGATGCACCCTCGTCGACTGCTGCGGCTTCCGGTACGGCCAAGACTCATGTGTTTAGTGAGCCTGCTCGTGAAGAAGTGGTGGTTAACTCCACCACGCACAAGCGTGAGTACATGCGACTCGAACCTCGTCTGAAACCATGGGTGTGCTTGTGTGTGTGTGTGTGCTGCATGCAGTGTCTGCTAGACAAAGTAGCCCGAAAAAGCAAGAGTGAACGCTTTTGGGAGATTATGAAGCTTCTCTTGGTCCCTTTGCAGAAGCGCCTCATCGACAATGGCACCGTGGCCGAGCGCTGCCCGAACATGTCGCTGCTGGCCAATGGAACGATGAAAGCTGCTCACCCAATCAACCTCAGCATTTAAGTTCCGATCAGATCAAGCCATCATTACCTTTCGGACTGCTGTGTGTTCTGGGTCCGGCGGCCATATGTTGTATATGTTTATCGTATTAACAGGATCACAAGATTACAATCCTTTCAATCACTTTGCCATCAAATTAGGAGCGAGGCGAGCTCCTTCGAAAATGGATCTCCTCGGGGGAGAACCTTGCAAGCTGTGAGGCCCAGGTGACTGCATCGAGGAAAAGCACAGCCACGGGGCGCCGCAGGCGGCGCCTCGTGGCTGTCAAGGACATGATCAATAGTCCGTACAACTTTTCGCAGTGCCTTGGTGGAATCGGTGTCGTTTTCGTGGCAGTGATCATCAACCAAAATGTGCTCCTAGCTAGAAGTTTACAAGTCTCGCAATGCCTGGCTGGAATGGTCGGTGTGTCAATCTTCCTGTGGCTAGCCTGCTTCTGCAATTACTTGATGTCTTGATCAACCGATGTGCTCCTAGATTATAGTTTCTCGGATTACTGTAAGCCTGCCTGGAATGATCGGTCCCATTTCGGCTGTGGTAAACAATGAGTTGATTTTTTGCTCAGCCAATCAAGGCAAAAGATCGAAAGCATCATCAGCAGGGGCGGAGGTGTTGAAGACATCGACGCTCCGGGCTGCTTGCCCGAACCAAAGTTTTGGGTGACGGTGGAAGAGGAAATGGTGGACGAGACCGAAGCGTCAGTGGAGCAAAACATTTCGGTGCGAGCGCGACCGTCTGCCGACATGTTCACCTCGATCCTCGATGTTGGCCAGCTCCAGCGACAGGCCCAGTCCAGCCCCCTGAATGGAGATGTGCTCAGGGCATTCGACACCTACAACACCGAGATCGCGAAAGCAGCCAACATCGACGGTGCGGGTACTGGTATGCTGGCTGTTTAATAGTTTTCGTTTTGCACCGACATGATGTAGTGTTATCAGCCACATATTGCTGGGTGTATGCCCCTGAGTTTTGTATTGCACCTACATGTTGCCTTAAGTGCTTGCTTATATCTACATATGGCCGTCGGACCAACAATTAGTTAGGCATCAAGCTCTGAGCGCTACAGTGCCAACCCTCAACATCAACCGTACATGTGTCAAAAACACCTGCAGGGTTTTGTGATTTCAAGCAGGCCTTGATCATGTTTCAATCTTCTGCAACTCTCTTCGCCCCATAAGCCCTGAAGCTGGAAGCTTAAGTTATTCAGTCAACTTCTTGCTGAACTGTCTTCGGGTGTAGATGGTTTAGGGTTTAGGGCTTAGGGTTTAGTGATTTTAGGTTTTATCCCCTCTATATAGTGTTGTTGTTGTTCTTGTTCTTGTTCTTGTTCTTGTTCTTGTTGTTGTTGTTGTTGTGTTATTATTGTCATTGCTGCTCTTGTTGTTCTTGTTGTTGTGCTGTTGTTCTTCTTCTTATTCTTGTTGTTGTTGTTGCTGTTGTTGTTGTTCTTCTTCTTCTTCTTGTTGTTGTCGTTGTTTTGTGGTTGTGGTTGTCGTTGTCGTCGTTGTTGTTGTTGCTGCTGTTGCTGTTGTTGTTGCTGTTGTTGTTGCTGTTGTTGTTGTTGTTGTCGTCCTCGTCTAAGTCTCTGGGAGATCCCGATCTACAGTGTCTTCCCGGTCTATATATGGCTCTAGCCTGTACCTTTCTCCTTACAAAATATAATCCCGAAAATTATCTGTAAAGTACTCCTCCCAAAACGAACAAAACCCTAACCTTTTAAGGATCTGGATCAGCTATGGCTGCTCGCGCAGCGCGGTCGGTTGCCGGCAGCAGCCGCGGATCCTCGAAGCAGCCGAAAAGGCCTCTGATCGAAGAGTGCTTCAAGAATGATGCAGACAAGCATTCCCGGTGGAGTAGCTTGCTTAACAACATAATTACACGTTGGAGGCGGTTGCTACAAGAGAACTCAGCTAAACATGCCTGGAGCTAGACTAATCAAGGTTCCGAGATTCGCAAAGAGATTGGCCAGCTGGCCCAGATTCTGATGGACTTGCCCGAGGGTTCCCAGCTCAAGAAAGAACTTGAGGATTATCAGCACAAGCTGCTGCAGAAGGCTGAGGAGTGCCTTGATTTATCAGCAAAATCTCCCAACCAGTAACCATGACCTTCAACCCCCCTATATAGAGCCCAAATTTACAACCCACTCAACCCGGAATCCTAATCCATTGTAAGGTTCAAGGTTGCGAAGACCTCAAGAGCAATGGATCCTCTGTGCGAAGCCATTCACGCTCTTGCTACTGGGTTGCCCTAGCTTCGTCTTGTCTGATTGGATTGTCGGGTCTGGTGGTCTGGCCTCTGTGAAGTCCATGAAGCTGCGCATCCAGGTCGCGGAGCTTGCCTTGACAAAGGCCCAGTCGCGAGCGATCATCAATGAGCTCAAAAAAAGGGGCTGAAAGGCCAAAGGCCTGAAGGCTTCTGGATCCGTGTCAATTTGGCACTTTTGATCCCAGATCATTCTGTTGAAGGTTGCAAGAGTGAGATCAGCTAGTATCTACTGCTGTGGATTGGTGCAAACAAATGTTTATGTGATGCTGCTAAGAAGCAGCATCTGCAGTGGAGGCCATGCAATCGTTCGGGTGTACGGATTATAGGGGGCTGCGGGATTTAGGGTTCAAGGCCGTAGGGTTAAGTTTAGAATCTCAGAGGGTGTATAACACAAGCTGTGCATGAACTCCAAAACTGTGCAAGTGTGGCCTCCCTAAGTCTGTCGCGTACCGACACAATCCTGGGGTTGCACCTGTACATAGTGCCAGCCTACCCCTTTTAGAAATGATTCCTATGGTGGGCTGATCTAGAGCTGTGTGGTGGCCTGGCAAGTACAGGTGCGGGTGTTTGAACCTACTCTGGAGTGAGTGGGCCTTACAATCTGAAGCACTGCACGGCCTGACCTGTGTGTGCTATGTGCCATCCGCAAGCAGACTGTCGGAGTAAAACTGAACATGAGCAGCTGCAAACCGCTTGCAGTCGGAGATAAGTGTTACCGTTGATTCTTGGTGCAAGCAACTACCCTCGACCAGCCCCTACGTAGCTAGATCTCAGCAGTCAGCCCTTCGCAGGTGAGGAGCGATCCAAAGCTGCCAGCAGCAGCTCAAAGAAGTTGGATGCGAAGTGCCTCGGCTTCAAGTTTGCTTCACACTTGCTAACTTTACGATCGGGTCGGGTGTGTCAGATCGTGCAGACTTGTTGAGGCTTTGTTTTATGTGACTTCGTATAATGAAACAGCATAGCTACCGGAAGTGTCATGTGCCATGGTCATGCTGCAGGCTGATTGAATCCACGTGCTGTGGATCTTTGGATATCTCGTTGGCTTGTGAGATTGGCAGCTTGATTTGCACGATTCTTCGGATCCCTGAAATTTCCGATAGCTATCAACATGTCAAAAGGTCTAGCTTGGTCCTAGCTAGGAGGACATTGCTGCTTTGGCATTGGGGTTTTTGTTGAGGTGCACTCGCGCGTCGCAGGGATGAGTGGGATAGTTGAAGATCCACCTAATTAATAGGGTCTGTCGTACGTTGGGACATTTGGGTACGGCTTCGGCTTAGTTAGGCTGGTGTGTATATTAATGCTTAATTTAACTAGTGCTCATACGCAGTAGCCGGTGCCGCTGGCTGATAGGAAGATCGTTGGCAGTACTAGTAGTATATCCGTGAGAATAACGGTATGTTGCAAATAGTTGGGTTTAAAAGTTAAGTTAGTTGGAGATGTGTGGACCCATTAAGCCCTCGACCCCGAACCCTCGCACCAAATCTGGACCCCATCAAGCCTCACCACCTCCCGAACCTCTCTACATGTGCCCAGGAGAAATCTATGGATCTGACCTTTTGGAAGGGTACGCCTCAAGGCCGCTCCGAGAGTCAGAATTCCATCAGCGCATCGCTGGGGCGGGAGTTGGCTTTCCTTGTGAGACCAGCTACACAAACATCCCAGTCAGTGTGGTGAATGAAGATGGTGTGCGAGTTGAGTCTATAGAAACCTGGCCTGTCCTACTGCCCAGTGGGATGGACTCTTTGTGGCAACAAGCTTATACAGCTTTGTTTTGGAACTGTAGTTTTCCGGGAAGACCTCAAATATAGCTAATAATACAATGCTTGAGGTGACATGCTGGATGGATGAGTTTATGGAGCAGCTGTGTCCCCCTGGCACCTTGGAACCGTACTGGGAAAACATGCTGAAAGACTACCCCGGTCACCCCTTGCACAATCATCCTGAACGACGTGGTCGCAGCATACCTGTACTATTGTGGGGTGATGAAGGCAATGCTCTCGGTGAAAGCTGGATGATTGCAACATGGAAGTTTGGCCTTAACTCTAGGAAGTAATATTCATATAATTAATTAAGCTATGAACCGTACCAGACTTGACAAACATGCAACCAAGCCCACACTCAGGATGCCAGACCTGTGCCCTTTCCGATCGAACAGCAAAGCTTCCAGAAACATTATGTTCAGTGTACCTGAAGACCGCTATTTTGTTGAGAGCACTGACGCGGGCAAAATCAACCACACGCTCCAAGCTCTTTGGGCTACCATGGTGGAGGACTTGAACAAGCTATCCGATGAGGGAATACTTCACTCCTCCACCGGGGAATCTTCATATTATCGAATTGCGTTGTACTTTATAGGGTTTAGGGTTTAGGGTTTATCTTAGTACAAGATTGAAACAATCGACTTTCTGCTTGCTTAAGAATATGTCTGAGGAAAGGTACTGGTTCTATGTCGTCGGCGTCAAGGGAGATATGAAGTTCCTTGCGCAATCCTTCAATCTCCTTCGCAAGCCGGGCTGCGAACAGGCTTCTCGTTCACCTAGGAGTCGAGGGTTTAGGGTTTAGGACGGTTTAGGGTTTAGGTTCTTAGGGTCTAGGTTTTAGGGTTTAGGCTTCAGGGTTTAGGGTTTAAAGATTTCCGAATCTAAGGCTTCAAATTTTGAATGTTCAGTTTATGATGATTTGTACTCGGCTAGCTTGAGGACTCAATGCTTTATGATTTATGATACTTTTAGGAGCTATCGAATAGGTTTTGATCATCGCTCAACTCACTACAATGCGTAAAAAACAAGCCGGTACTGAGGTGTGTTTCAAGTGTGCAGCCACGATGGGCCGAGACCGGTTCGACTTGGTGTACACAGACACATGTCCTAATGCA